TATTTTACCCCAAACCTGCTTGTGCTTACTCTGACCATAGCGCTGCCTCGATGTGGGCATGGATCATTGTATCAAAAATGAAACGTGAAAAGAAAGTTAAATGAAAAGTGAAAATCTCGTGATTTTATTTGGAACACAACAATGAATGACATTTAAACTTGAAGGAAAGGTACGAAAGTCTGTACTGGACCATCTAGCAGTATGATGTTAAAGACAAGAGAGCAAGATGACAGAGGACAGAAGCTAATGATTGCTAATGTTAGCTTGTTGTGTGTGAACACCTGTGAAAACGTTTTACAGTTATTGCAAATGATTCAAGTAAAGTTAGTGTTTTCACACCTGATAGCCCAGCTGACATTGGCACAAGGCTATCATTGAATATAATTATAATTGTGTGAAATTACTGTGGAGGTCGGAGTGAAGTGGACCCGCATCCAGTGTAAACTGGGGTTTTCTGCAGATGTCGAGCAAGGTATATACAGTACAAGGTATGAGTAACTTAAAGCTTCATGCTTTTGGAGTGGTCTCCAGTCTGGTTGGCATTCACATATCTGCACCAGAGTTCACTTCAACTGATCTGAGGCTTGTACCAGAAGTCTTRTTGGAATTGGGCCATAAGGGCTCATGTTAATGCACAGAACCCAGGTTTGAAGCAAGGTGTAAATGCAGGCTGGGTGGGGTGGGCCTTATGATACAAAGTAAGGGAACAGAGACTAGTAAATCAAGAGACTTACATTTCAGCTCAGGTCTATCTTCACCATGCCAGACCAGAGCAACACTCTCATTACTGCAGACAAGACCTTGATTCATTGCTSTATCTTCCACTCCACCCTACCAGTGATAAATCTCTTAGATACACAAACTCCTCTGCTTGAGGAAGATACTCAGAGGAAGTATGTAAACCTTTTCCTGTTTAAAACTATGACCTCAAACTTAAAAGAACTGACTCTCATCACATCTATGAAATGCCCCTGTGCATTTGACACACATCATAGTCTGGAGATAGTCCTCTCCCTGGGCTGCCAACCCTCGCTGGGCTGCCACCTTATCGTGGTGGAGAGGTTTGAGTGTCCCAATGATCCTAGGAGCTATGCTGTCAGGGGATTCAACCCCCCAGTAGGGTCACCCAAGACAAACAGGTCCTAGGTGAGGGATCAGACAAAGAGAGGAGACATGGGTCCCCATTCCCATGGGCTCACCACCTGTGGGAGGGGCCGTAGGGGTCGGGTGCGTTGTGTAACGGGTAGCAGTCGAAAGCGAGGACCCTAGTGGTCCGATCCTTGGCTACATAAACTGGCTCTAGGGACATGGAATGTCACCCCTGTGGTGGGGAAGGAGCCTGAGCTGGTGTGTGAGGTTAAAATGTTCCGACTAGATATAGTTGGACTTACCTTGACGCACCACTCTGGCTCTGGAACCAGTCTTCTCGAGAGGGGTTGGACACTCTTTCATGCCCATGTTGAAAGGCGCTGAGCAGAAGTGGGCATACTTATTGCCCCTCATCTTGGTGCCTGTATGTTGGGGAATGAGAGGGTAGCCTCCCTCTGCCTTAGGGTGGGGGGACAGGTTCTGACTGTTGTCTGTGCTTACGGGCCGAACAGCAGTTCAGATTACCCACCCATTTTGGAGTGCTTGGAGTGGGTGCTGGAGAGCGCTCCTGATGGGGACTCCCTCGTCTTGCTGGGGGACTTCAACGCTCACATGGGCAGTGACAGTGAGACCTGGAGGGG